TCCTAAAGAGCTGGAATTACAGGCATGAGTCACTGTGCCCAGCTGAGGAAGGGACACTTGCTCTAGAGAGTCAAAGGAACCTTCTTTTCCATCCTTCCTCTGACACTTGCCAGTTGTGGCCCCTTTGGGAAGTTCCTCAATCTCTTAATGTCAAATTTTCTACAAAATGAAGATACTCACTGAGTGAAAATGAAAGGAAATACAAATAACGTGTATTTTCTATAACACACATGGATGGGCTTCAATCAATGAGAGCTATTATTAGTAAGATAATATAGATTAAGTGGGGAATTTGGTAATGGCAAATTACCTAATTCTATCATGTACAAAATAAGCATAAGGTAGGAGGTAATATCACAAAACACTTATAAGCAATCTTCATTTCTAAAGAACACAGGGGTCTCCTAAAACTGTTACTGCTGGGAAGATCAATGACATATGTGGCCTATATAGATGGTCTATAACACCTATATAGTATATATAGTATGATCTTATGATACTATAGATGGAGAACTATACATATGAATGCTTAGTACCTAATTTTAGGTCACAAAGTCTCTGGGGTGGAATAGAGATTTTCACTTTACTTGCCTGTTCTGCCTTTAAAAACATCACTTTAAGCCGGGCTCAGTGGTTCAGCCTGTAATCCCGCACTTTGGGAGGTGAGGTGAGTGGATTGCCTGAGCCCGAGGGTTCGAGAGCCGCCTGGGCAACTTGGCGAGACCTCATCTCTATAATAAATCAAAAAATTAGCCACGCGAGGTAGCGCGCGCCTGTAGTTCCGGCTACTTGGAAGGCTGAGGTGGAAGGATCACCGGAGCCCAGCAGGTCGAGGCTGCGGTGGCTGGGAGCAGCCACTGCACTCCAGTCTGGGCGACAGAGTGAGACTCCAACTCAAAAAAATAAAAAATAAAAAAACAAACACAAAAAAACCAAAAACATCACTTTGCAGAGAAGTGTGTTTTGGGCAAGATTCACAGGTCCTTCTGAAATCGACTCACATTGACAGGGACCCTTTGGGTTTTGCTTTTGACAGGGATGCAGCCTCTGAGCTCTTAACAGGCAAATTGGGGCATAGAGCCCTTTCATTTCTGGCTGTTACAGAAGGAATCAGTTGTTGCTTGAAGAAGGCCTTAAGTAATCAAGTATATAACAATTGGGCCTTGCAAGATAAACGAAAAATTCAGATAAAGGTTTGAACTTTTACAGGGTTGAATAAACTCTCATCTATAATAATATTCACAGATCTTTTTTTTTCCCCCTCCTTAGGAAAACGTGGCCTTGATAAAGTGGACTGAAATTGTGAAGCAGAAAACCCTAAAGGTATGTGTAAGAATTTTTTCCTTCTTTCTTCCTAAATAATTATGTTATCCAATGAAAAATCATATTGAATTCAATTAAATATTTATTGAGGCTGGGCATGGTGGTTCAAGCCTCTAATCCCAGCATTTTAGGAGGCCAAGGTGAGAGGATTGCCTGAGCCCACGGGTTCGAGAACAGCCTGGGCAACTTGGCAAGAAAAAAAAAAACAATTAGTCGGGCGTGGTAGTGCATACCTGTAGTTCCGGCTTCTTGGAAGGCTGAGGTGGAAGGATAGCCAGAGCCCAGCAGTTGTATGTTGGGGTGGCCGTGAGGGTACCATTGCCCTCCAGCCTGGGTGATGGAGTAAGACTCCAACCGCCCAAAACAAAAAATATAAAAAAATATTTATTGAATTCCCATTATATATCAAGCATCCCTGTAGGTGCCAGGACTATAATAGCTAGTAAAACAATCGCAGCATTTTTCTTAAAGAACCAAATAATAACTATTTTTTGCTTTGTGGGCTATAGGGTCTCTGTCACAATAGGTCAACTCTACTGTGGTCACACAAAAGCAGCCACAGACTACAAAAATAGGCAGGCGCTGGGTTTGGCCTCTCAGTTGTTGTTTGCTAACCCCCTTCCTCAAGAAGCCTACACTCTAGGAATGGGAGAGGGAGGCAGATGATAAAATAAATTGCAATTTAAAGCAGGGTAGTTGGCCATTCCCAGATCATCACCATCATTGCCTTGCTAGACTCTGGTGTGGCCATGTGCTTTTTGTCACCATGTTTCCTGGCTTTGGCTCCCTTCTCTACCTTGGGGAGGTGAATCTCCTCTTTCTCTCTTTCTCTCTCTAAATTACTTTTTAAATAAACTATATTTTCTAATCTAAAAAAAATAAATAAACAAGTAAATACAGCAGGGTAGTCATGGGAAGCCTTGCTGAGAAAGTCACTCTTTTTATTTTTTTAAGACTCAGGGTACAGCCCAGACTGGAGTGGAGTGGCCGCTCCCGGCCACCGCAGCCTCGACCTGCTGGGCTCCGGCGATCCTTCCGCCTCAGCCTTCCGAGTAGCTGGAATTACAGGCATGCGCTACCACGCCCAGCTGATTTTTTGATTTATTGTAGAGATGAAGTCTCGCTGCCCAGGCAGGTCTCGAACCCGTGGGCTCAGGCAATCCACTCACCTCAGCCTCTGGGATTACAGGCTGAGCCACCGAGCTCGGCTTACTTGTTCCTATTTTAACTGAAAAAAATAAACAAACAACAGACTCATGATAAACAGAACATATCACTCCTAGCAAATAAAGAGAAAAATTTCTCTCCTAGATCTCAGAACCATTTTATTCTCAGACAACTTGCCTGTCTCACAAGGTTTCTGCACAAACCAAATGTGATTATGTACACAGAATATTTTGCATATCATCTCTAAGATATCCAGCCATGTGGACAAGGCCAGAGTTTTACATAAAGAGGTAAAAGCATGGGCAAGGTGCTTCAAACAGGGAATAAAAAATAATAAAAAATAAGATTAAAAAAATCCACAGGTTCCAATGTGGTTTCTGCATACTCGGAAGACTAGACTGCAAGGCATTGAGGGTAATGACCAATTTCATTATTGTGCTAAAAAGGTCAGATTATCTTTGTGAAAAGGCCACCTTTTGAACTGTGGATATTTTGTTAATTCAGATATCAAAGAACCAAAAGCAGTTTATGAAAAGACACGAAACCCATTTTGGAAATAAAAATAAAAAACAACACTCCGACATTTTATATTATGCTTTGAACTTAAATATAGGATCATATTTTTCCGGACTGCATATCATAATATGCCAACTTCATTTGGAAAAAATATGTATTTAACATTTTCTGATTATAAAAGCATACATGCTCATTATGAAAATTTAAAGTACAGAATAAGTATAAAAAAGAAAATTTTAAAAGTCTTAGTCCATCACACAGAGATTATTTGTCAGCCTTAAAACTGTGCTCCATTTCCATTTAGTTTTTATGCATATACAATTTCCTTCTTACACAACTGGGACAATCGTTATAGAGTTAGTTTTTAAAAGCTTGTTTTTTCGAGTTAACTGGCTAATACGATTATCTCTTTTTGTCCTTAGATACTGTGCCACAATTTTTAACGTCTTCATAAAAGTCTGTCATGTGGATGTGCCACAATGCATCAAACCATTCTTCCACTGGTGGGCTCTGGTTTTCCCAAATTTTCCCTGTGTGTAAATGTTATAAGGACAATTCGCAAACATATCTTTTTTGTGTGCATCTCTGATAATTTCCTCAGGATAAATGCCTAGAAATAAAAATTCTGGGTCTCAATTTTAAGGTTTTGCTGCACATTGTCCAACTGCTACTACCTTTCTGCAGAGAAATTTATATTCCCCATATAAGAGTGTGAGAATGTTTGCCTCTTATTTCTCTTGCACTTAATACTGCTTTAAAAAATATCTGCACATTTCTCATTGCTACACAGCTTATTTTTGCTTTGCTTTGATTTTTTTAATTATTAGTGAAACTTTGATTACTTCTTCATGTTTCTTGGAGGTATTTCTTCCCTGTGAATTTACCTGTCTTGCCCACAATTCTATCTAGAGTTTTCATCTTTTGAAAAAATTACTCATGAAAGCACTTCATATTGTTATATTTTTACTAATGCTTTGTTGTTAGTTTAATTTTAGGTAAAGTCTTTCCAATCAACAATAGTAGAGACATTGTTCTTGCTCCTGCAATTTTCTGAGATAAAAAATCGATTTAAAAATTTCAGGCAGAGGCAAACATGGCACTTACAGAAATAACATCAACTCTATCCCCAAACAGGTGATGGCACTTGGAGAGACCTCTTCCCACAGCTAATGTTCTATCAGGAAGTTGTCCCAAACCAAGAAGTTTAGAATTTGCTCTCTGACCTCTCTGATTGAAATGCAAATTCCATTTCCTAATTAACTCAGGACTTTTTGTTTTGTTCTGATGTTGGCTTTTTACACGCCCCAGTGGGCCCTGTTCTTGGGAGCTCACCCAGGAAGCTGAAAGGTGATGTGCAATGAAAAGGGTACATCCCTTTCCCACAATCCATCTGAGAGTAAGTTGCATCTCCACAAACCTTTTTTGGGAGGCATTCCGTGGCTGGCAGCCCTGAGTGAGCACAAAGCCTCGTTTTGGCTGTGTTTTCATTTCCGTACTTGCGGAGAAGAAGGAAAGCTGCCTATCACAGATGTTAAACAATTGCTTGTTTAATGACTCTCAACTGCCGTTTTTTACACTGGGTGTGGTGTAGTGTGCACATTTACACAACTTCATTGGCATCAAAGCCGCTTGGAAGAATACGTCGATCTGGGCAGATTTTCTGCAGTGACAAAAAACATACTCGAGTTTTATTCTCTCTCCATTTCACAGCTCTTGTCTAACCAGCCCCTGGCAGAAGTCACCATTTCTTCGGTGAAGGAATGCTGCTTTCCAAAATCTTTTGGCAGAATCCCCTAGAGATTTGTTTTTCTGCTTCTTCCTAATTTAGAAAGTCTTCAAAGAAAAAAAAAAAAAAAAGCTTGACAAATTAATGTGAGAAGAAACGAACTCTGATTTAATTTTTGCATTTCTTTCATGAAAAGTTTTAGAGTTCATTATCTATAAGAAAACTGGGCAAGATAATTTTTTGGGGAAAAATCAAATGAAAATGTGTATACCCCAAGATCAGATTGTTCTTTACTCCAGTCAAGAAGCAACATGTGATACAAATCCAAGATTTTATTAAAATTATTTGTAAGTTAAATAAACATAATATCTCAGTGGTGAAGGAAGGCTTTTAATAAAGCAAAATAATGAGTTATGTGAATAAACAGAAAAAGTGATAAGTGTTAACTGTGACATTTAAACGGTTACATGATTTTAATTATTCTTTTGATAATAAGCAACCTTGTGGTGTCTATTCAAGGAACTCAAACCTGTGCCTACTATGGAATTTGCAGTTGAATAGAATCTTTGTTCCCTGCCTTTGGCAATTTTAAAGAAACAAATGGAAATGGTTTTAAGACCTTATAACAATCTACCACCAATCAAAAGAATCTAAAAGGTAAGGTGGGAGGCACTAGAAAGAGAGAGTGAAAAGAAAAAAAAAAAAAAAGGCACACACGTACTGCATTTATTTGAGAGACAGTGTAAGAGAGAACGGAAATGTTAGTGAGAGAAGAGGCTAGAAACCCGGCTAATGCCAACCCTTTATTTGTTCTTGGCTGTCAGGGGTTTCCGGCTGATCTTCTTCGATTTGTCATTATTTTTCTTTGGCGGTTCTGGGTTTGCCTGCATGTGTCTGCCGTAGAGGCTGAAATGAAAGAGACAGGAAACCATGAGATCTATGCTATTAACACAAGAAAGGCTTCTATTGGTAGAGTTTTCAACAGCAGATTAATCTCCAGAAATATTCAGTAAGTCAAAAAACCCAAAAGATCCCTTCTGTGTTCTCTGTATTTAAGAATATAAAATTCTCTTACATACATACACCATGCCATGACATCCAATCATGGACCAGTTTCAGGATTTCACAACCACTGGGAAAACCATAATGCCCAGGCCAGCTGGTCCCGACTGAAGTTCAAAGTGTTTCAGTTGACAATGACAAAAATTGGGTTGAAGTGGAGAGAAAGAGTGTCCATTTAGTGAAAAGTGAGCATTTCACTTGGCCTGAAAGCCAGGGGCTGGCTAATGTGACAGAGAGCAATGGGGTCCAAGTCTGAACTGGCTGCTCACGCGTGATGGATAGTGTGGAGATGGCTATCACACATCAATGCCACATTAATAAGTACCGTTGATTAAATGTTGACAAAGTGCCCCACAATTACAGTGGATGGCACTCATCGCACGGCGAGGCTGGCTCCATGGCTGAGAGAATTTAATGGAACGGCAGAAGGTAATTAATCGACAATTTACGAGTAATTCTGATTAAACTAAATTAAAAGCCATCCTAAAATAAATACAGCTCAACCTCAACTCCCTTATTGATATAACTGTGTCTCCAAGAGAGCCCTGGGGGTGTCTCAGTTCCTCTGGAGAAAGGGGTTACCCGACGCTGCTGCTGGCCACTGACTTAATCCAACTGAATGAGCCTTGACACAGGGCCTGACCTCCCTGTACAAGGTGGCTTCGTTCTAATGTCCACTCAAGGAATTGACACCTTCTGGGGATGCTGACATCTGTGGGCACACACGGTGTGGTGCTATTTAGTACATACTGGTGCTCTTGATGACATCAGCACCATGGCAGACAGGTGGAGGGGAGGGGATGACACACTGACTGCATGGTGTCCAACCGACCATGTGGCTAGGGCAAGCTGCACACCAGGGTTTTGGTGGGTCGTGTCATATTCAATCTTCTCTAGAGTCTTCCAAGTGTCTGATCATGCCATATTCTATCTTCTCCAAGTGGCTTCTTGGGAATGGCAGGAGCAGGTTCCCCCAAAAGTGGTGATGAAGAGAGTTCTCTGCTCTCACAGAGGTGGTACGACACAGACCTGCGAGCCAGAGCATGTTATCTAGCCAGGTGCTGGGAACGCTCTCCAAGGAAAAGGGAGGCCATTCTCTTGTGTCAAGAAAGTACCATATATTTTTTTGTTGTTGTTTTGTTTTGAGTTGGAGTCTCACTCTGGCGCCCAGACTGGAGTACAGCGGCCACTCCCGGCCACCGCAGCCTCGACCTGCTGGGCTCCGGTGATCCTTCCACCTCAGCCTTCCAAGTAGCTGGAACTATAGGTGCACGCTACCATGCCCGGCTAATTTTTTGATTTATTGTAGAGATGAGGTCTCGCCTGCCTAGGCGGATCTCGAACCCGCGGGCTCAAGCAATCAACTCACCTCAGCCTCCCAAAGGCGCGGGATTACAGGCTGAGCCACCAAGCCCGGTTTGTACCATATATCCTAGGGAATATGAGAGTCTGCAGATTGCCCAGCCTGACAGTATCTTCTCTGGACTCACAGGAGAAACACCTCCTTTCCCAAGATAACCTGCTTCCAGGAAAGCACATCTTTAGACCTAGAGAGGTTCTTCTCCGCCACACTTTACAAAGAGTCACAGATCCCCCTGAAGATGAGGCCAAGGACACTTGAGGACCCTGGATCCCAGGCAAAGAAACGGGATGAGACAGAGGAAAGTTCAGCAAGTTCAGTCTAGCCTTACCTCTGTCTGCCTCCAATTCCCAAAAATGTGCATTTCCCAATCCTTAACACCTATGAATATGTTACTTCACGTGGCAAAAGGACTCCTCAGTTAGGGATGTTGAGAGGGAACGATCACCCTGCATTATCCAGGTGAGCCCAACCTGTGTTCTTCTGCCCAGCATCTCTCCCAGATGAACCAAGTAGGCAAAGGAAACCTGGAGCCAAAGTACACCCATCTATTATATGTCTCACTTTTTTTTTTTTCCTTCCTGTAGAGATGGAGTCTTGCTTTGTTGCCCAGACTGACCTTGGACTCCCGGCCTCCAGTGGTCCTTGGTCTTCCCAAATGCTGGTGTTCCAGGCCTGAGCCACCATGGGCTCCTTGTTCTCACCTTTATCAACGCACTCGGCAACCTACTTTTTCCACTAATAACCTCTTCCGTTGTCCTGCTCCTAGGATCTTGGTTTACTCGAAGCCATTGACCCCATGCTCAGGGCTCACCACTCCAGAGTGGCAGGCTCTGGAGGCATCTAGACTCCAGGCCCCTCTCACCTGGCAGGAAGCAGAGGTGTGACTGTCCTGTGCCATCAAACAAGCACCTATGGCCCCAGTATCTTGAGTTACACAGCCTTCTTACAGTTTCATATATCTTTTCCAACCCCTTATCCTCACAAAGGAAAAAATATATATGTTCTTATTCATAGACAACATCAAACTTTAAAAGATATAATAATCTACAGAAATAAGACTCCACAGTTCATGCACGTGGAAACCTGGCAATACTTGGGTGCTAGGAAAAGTTCTCGGTAACATTAAGAGGTCGGAGGAGGGGAAAGAGAAGTAGGAATTGACAAGGGCCTGCTTCATATCATGGCCTGAATGCAGGAGGGGCGAAGGTGGGCAAGGGGGACTTCCCAGAGGGGGTGTGTGTTCACCTGAGCTCTGACGGTGGGAATTAGGGATGTTATTTCAGAATGGGGTGCAAAAGCTGTTTGGGGGGTCTCAGCAGGGCTCCTCTCCTTTTCTGGAGGAACGGAAATGTTCCAATGTTTCAATTCCTGCCTTTTTATGTTCAGATCCCACTGTGTGTACCTGGACATCCTGGGGCTACATAGCAAGTCCCTACAAAGGGCTAGCTGGGGCACGGCGGCCTTGAACTTGATGTTAAAATCCTTATTAGCTGTAGACTGCTGACAAGGGATCACCAACTTTCATCTCTCCCACCATGCCTCAGTTTCCTTATTCGAAAAATAAGTATGTCATTTTCCTCACAAGGTGGTTATCATGATTCAGTAAGCTCAGCACCTCGGCCAGTCTATTGGAAGTGACCAGCAAATGCTTGTTGAAAAAAAGGACAGATGTGGAGTTACACTCAGAGCGATTAAATAAAAACAATTATATGATTACTTACCTCTCTAGGGCTCTATCCCCTGCAAAATAACGCGGTATTTTCTATCAACGCTAAATCCCCAAACACCTCTGGAAAAAGGAAGGCTTTAATCCTCTTTGAAGAAGGGAACTAAGGCAGAGCTAAATGCATCGCCCCACTTCCTCGGTGAGTCATCGGCAGGGCTGGATGCTGCTGCTGTCCGCTGCACGATCCTTTAACTCCTCCAGCTTTGTGGGCAGAGGAGAGGCGGCGTTTTACTAAGCGGCCATAAGTGGTCATTCCCACATGGGGATGAGGCTGTGGCAGGGCAGTCACAACAAGCACTGAGGCCCCCAAATCGTGGGTTCCACTCCTGGCTCTACCAGGGACTAGCTATGGGGCTCCATTTGGGAAGAAAGTGCAGTAGGCAGAATAACGGCCCCCAAAGATGGCCCCGTCCTAATTCCTGAAACTTGTAAATATGTTACTTTATGTGGTAAGGGGGACTCTGGGGGCGTGATAAAGTTAAGGACATTGAGCTGGGAAGGTAATCCTGGATGCTCTAGTGGGCCCAGTGTCATCAAAGGGGTTCTTATAGGAAAGAGAGAGGGTTCCGAGTCAGAGAGAAATCTGAAGATGCTACGCTGTTGCCTCTGAAGATGAAGGAAGGGGCCACGAGCCAAGGGGTCCAGGCGGCCTCTAGCAGTTGGAAAGGCAAGGCAATGTGTTCTTACATAGAGTCTCTAGAAGGATGCAATCTATAGACACCGATTTCAGGCTTCTTTTTTTTTTTGTCAGGGTCTCACTCTGTCGCACAGGCTGGAGTGCAAGTGGCATGATCATGGCTCACACAGCCTTAACCTTCTGGACTCAAGTGATCCTCCTGCCTCAGCCTCTGAAGTAGTTGGGACTACAGGAGTGTACCACCATGCCTGGATAATTTTTAAATTTTTTTTGTAGAGATAAGGTCTCACTATGTTGCCCAGATTGGTCTAGAACTCCCATGCTCAAGCAATCCTCCTGCCTCAGCCTTCCAAAGTGCTGGGATATTAGGCATGAGCCTGGCTAATCTCAGGCTTCTGAACCCTGGAACTGTAAGATGATACAGTGATTTTGTTTTTGGCCACTAAGTCTGTGGTAATCTTTTACAGCAGCAATAGAGAATGAATACAGGAAGTGAGTGAACGTCCCTGAGTCTGACAGGACAGCCTGCTGGTGGATTCAGCTTAATTTCAGCAGGAAAAAACGGAAAGTTTCTGGAGGTGCTCACTGAAAAGAAGGAAAAAGTAAAAGGAACAAGTTGCTGGAAGCGGCCACTGCACTCCAGTCTGGGCGACAGAGTGAGACTCCAACTCAAAAAAAAAAGGAACAAGTTTTGGAAAGGACAGTGTATGGGCTGGGCATACTGGCTCTTGCCTGTAATCCTAGCATTTTGGAAGGCTGAGGAGGAAGGACTGTTTGAGGCCAGGAGTGCCAGACCAGCCTGGGCAACATAGCAAGACTGTCTCTATGAAAAATAAAAACACAAAAATAAAATAAAGTAAAAGAACGGGGTGTGCCCCAAAGGAAAAAAATGGGTGCAAACTGTACCCTCTTTAATATGAACTATGGTTGGTCTCTGTCTCCCCATTCTCTGAAGCTAAACACCTGTGGTCGATGATGTTTTGCTTGTATCTGGATTTAATTTTAGAGGTAACTGAGCAACCACACAAAGAAGTCGATGCCATTGGAAGATGTTTTATTTCTTGGAGTTTCTGAGAGGAGTGAGCATGCCACACCACGCAGGACCGCATAGGGAAGCG